TGGCTGCGCGGAGCGGGAAAGGGGCGGGGGAGCGCGGGGCCGCGAAGGCTCCTGCCGCGTCCCCCAGGGCAGGGCCGGGAGCCCGGCGGGGCGCGGAGCAGTGCGGTGCGATTCCCTCCTACGCGCCTCGCCGGGCACTGACGGCGGCTGGCAAACGCGGGGGGGGGGGCGCCCCCGGACGGGGGGTGCGGGGCCCTGGGGACCCGCTCCCCGACAGCCCCGCGGGGGAAGGCGGCGCGGCGGCCCGAGCAGCGCCACCTGGGCACCGTCCCTTTAATTTATAAAAATTCGCCGGGTTTTTTTTGTAGACCCTCCTGCCCCGTCGCCCCCGGGGAGAGACGTTCGCTCCGTCCGGGCGCCGCCGGCTCCCTGCCCCGGCCCCGCTCCCGTCCGGGCGAGGCGGGAGGCGGCAGCGACCCCCGCTGTCCCCCGGCCCCGACACCCTCCGGGGACTCGCCCCGACGGCAGCGGGTGGCGCCGCCTTCTCCCCCTCCGTGGGAGCGGAGACGGCAGGTGCCCCCGCGGGTCCGCGGACTCCGCCGGGTCGCCCGTCCCCCTCCCACTCCCCGAGCTGACGGGAGCGCGGAAAGCTGTTAAGGAATAGCAGGTGCTGGTTTAACTTTTTTTTTTTTTTTTTTTTTTTTTAACCCACGAAGATCTTAATAACTAAGAGGCTCAGAGCGAGACGAAAGGGTGTCGGTGAAATGGAAATATATATTTTTTTAATAATATAGTGAGGTTGGGGTTTGGGTTTTTTTTTCTTTTCTTTACATTGTTAACAAATGCCAAAACTCACCTTTAAAGCGTGGTCTTGTGTCTTGTAAATATCAGGTACACGTAAAGAGAGCTGACAGTTTTGATTATTTTTTCTCTCTGTGCTCAGTCTCCCAGGCATTGCTCTTTCCAAGGGGTTTAGCTAATGTTTTCATCTGGAAGTGTTGGATTTGCAGCTTGATTTACTTAATAAATGTACAGTAAACCGATGACCCGTTGCCCTCTGGAATAACGACGTGCATGATACGAGGCAGCAGTATGGAGGGCCCCTGCAATATTTTACAAGCTGTCGATTCAAAATCCTGAGAACAAGTTTAACCGAAAAGAGAAAAAAACCCCCTCAATCATGTTTTGCTGTGTTATTGGAAAACAAATAAATAGAGGAAGAGATTATTCTTTTCTGACTTTTATACAAGCAATAGGCCTTGTTAAAAGGAAGTTTTAATGGCACAGTTATTACATTCCACTACCACTGCATAATCCCTAACAAGAAAAATGAAGCACTTAATTTTGCAGTTCTACAGCACCGCCCCTTTTCAAATTCAATTGTTAGACCTCAGCCTTCCTCCTTCCACGGGTTGGAGACTATTAAGTCCGCATTCATGAAATGTCACATTTATTGAACTACATAATTTTTTAATATCACTAGTGCAGGTTTTATAGTTGATTTTATTGTTTTTATGGCCATTCGGGGCTCTAAAACCCGGATTTTTTCAATGTTGTCCTTATAATTTTTTTCACACAGTCAGAACTAATAAAATAGAACAGTTGTGACTTTTTAATGCAAGGGGTCTCAGAGTTTCAATATTTTCACTCTGCTGGATACTAAAACCAATAAAAATACATGAGATTTTAATTATTTTCTGGATTAAATAAAACCTTTTCCTTTTCTTTTGGACCATACATTTTGTTTGTAGTTTCTGTTGTGAGGGAGATAACGCAGCTTCGGATAAAATACATTATTACCAATATTGCTGCGGCGAATACAGTTTTGACTGGATTTTACATTCTAACGGGCATTTAAAGTAAGGTGCTGTGGACACCACAAGATCAAGACAGTGCTATAATATTTGTATTATTTCTTCTCCAGGTTCCCTCTGGAAAGCACTCCAATTTATCTGAAAAACCTCGGGAGAGAGACAGAGAAAAAAAAAAAAGCACCCCTTTCCTGATTAAAAAAAAATCCTAAAAACAAAAAACACAAAAAACATTCATGTTCATTTTCCTGGAATGCACTTGAAACACCCCCAAGTTTTCTTGCTAATCTGGGGATTTCTGGAGGGCGGCGGGGCGGGATGCGTGCATCCCCGCACCGGCACAAGCTCAGCCCGAAGGGATCAGCTGGAGAACTCATTATTTTGTGTAATAACTTCGGGGCCCGTCCTCCCCTTCCCTTTCTGTGAAATCCCCCGCCTTCGAGGAGTTCCGAGCTCAAGGAAAAAAAAAAAAATATACAATCAGGGTCCTCACTTGTTCCAGGCGGCCCCGCTGCCAGAGCCCCGACGGTACCTGGGGGGACGCCCGGCTCCCCCGCTGCCAGAGCCCCGACGGTACCTGGGGGGACGCCCGGCTCCCCCGCCGCCGCCGTCCGGGCCGGGCTCCCGACGGGGCGGACAGAAAAAGCAGCTCAGGCTGGGAAAGGCCGGTGGAAACTCGCTGGTTCGTGCGTCCCCCGGGCCAGGGGGGCTGGCGGGGACGGGGTCGGACGGGTTTCCCGGGGGAAGCAGCGGAGCCCGGAGCAGCTTTCCCCAAGGACGGCGCCCCACAGGTGTCTCGAGTGGCGAGGGGGCAAGCCCTTACCGGAGGAAGCGGGCAGCCCACGGGCTCCCGTGGGACTCTGGAGCCTCCCGCCGGCGGCGCCCTCCCGGTGCTGCGGGGAGCCGGGAGCCCCGCAGAGGCGGCGTCGGGGCCCGGCTGCGGGTGGCCGGGTCTCCCTCGCCCCCCAGCCCCGGGGCGGGGGGAGCAGCGCCGCTTTAATTTAGCGTTTATGTGTCACCGTGTTCGTGAGCGGGTTTTACGGGACGGCGCTAACGTGAAACACCTGGACGGCGGCTCCGCGGGCGCGCACGGCGGGGAGGGGGCGGAGGGAGGGGGCGAGCAGCGGAGCCGCCCTCGGCTGCGCCGGTCTGTCGTCCGCAAATGCGTTAAAATAAATACTAATAAATAATCAAACAACACCACCCCCTCTCAAACGTCGGGACATCAGGAAACGAATGCCTCCAAAACCGGAGAGAAATGCCGGGCGGTATTCCCACCGCACCCCGGGTACCTGCCACAAGCGCCCCACAGAAGATTTCTGATGCCTGGGGTGGTTATTCCGGTCAATACGTGAATTATTCCACGATTTATAAGTGAAATGAGTCTCGAAGCACAGAACTCTTTCTTTGCTCCGCGGGTTCTGTTACCACTACCATATATTTTTTTGGCACAGTACCTGCCCGTTCTCTGCTCTCAAAACCAGGAGTTTCGCCCAAAATAGCACCCTCTGTGACACTGCAGGCTTCAGGAGCGTTACACCAGAGATGAATCATTCCTAGCTGCAGTAACTGCGTTTGGCTCTGCAGAATTAGTGGGCGATCCAGCAAAGTCCATCTTTTACGGAGTGGGCGATCCAGCAAAGTCCATCTTTTACCAGCCGGCGCGGGCAGCCAGCAGCCTCACCCCGCGATGCTGCGGGGCGCTTTCCAAGAGGATCCAGCCCGCAGCTATTCCACCCCTTCCCATTATTGAAAATATTTCAAGACTCTTCCAAGAGAGGTGAGGCCACAGCCTTGAACACCTTCCAAGGAGGAAATAGGAGGGAGTTCACCTCTGATTTTCCTAGCGCCGTGGAAGCCAGACTGCTCCAGACAGAGGCACCGCACATTGCAGGGTGATGTCAGTCGGTGCTGCCGTCTTCCAGATAACTCATCTGTTAGATATTCGCTTCTCACCTCTTCCTCCTCCTCACTGTCGTGATTTGATTTACTAAATGAGTTACAACTGCAATAAACACTAAGGCAGGTCAGTCTTGAAGGCATTAATTTAGATGTAGCAGAACAAGACAAATCTTGGTCTAAAAAGGAGTGGACAACATTTGAGCTATTATTCTAGGCAGAGCTGGCAGGATTTTATCATTTTCCACCCTATATTAATCTGATTATGATTTTGCCAAATTTAAATCATCCAGGTGGAAAAAATCTGTTCTGAGGGAATCTGCCTCATGCTGAGTATGTTTAAGGTTTCAGCAAAACTGGTTTAGCTGTTCCTGAGCAGAT